CCAGGATGGTCTCGATCTCCTGACCTCGTGATCCACCCATCTCGGCCTCCCAAAGTGCTGGGATTACAGGCTTGAGCCACCGCGCCCGGCCTGAACTCCTGGTTTCAAGTGATCTGCCCACCTTGGCCTTCCAAAGTGCTGGGATTATAGGCATGGGCCACTGTGCCTGGCCAAAACTTTTTTTGAGGTACAAAAAGACTCAAAGTTTAAAATCTATTTTGAGGATTATTCTTCAAGAGAAAGTCATAGGGGAAATGTTTTCTGTCAAGAAAATGTTCGTTAAAGGAAACAGGTCCCTTTTAGGGCATGAACAAGCTTGTCTAGTTCTAAAGCACTTTCTTGTGTCCTCTCATGTGATGCCAACTGTAGTGACCTTGTGGGGTGGGCTGGGAAGGACATAGGAGCTCCACTTCACAGATGGGGAACTAGTGGCCCAGAAAATTGGCATGTGTCCATCCTAATAGCTGAGAGGTGAGAGTGCATGGCATAAAATACATTGGCTATATAGGCCAGGCATGGTGGCTCACGCCTCTAATCCCAGCACTTGTTGGAGCCGAGGGCGGGTGGATTGCTTGGAGGTCAGGAGTTCAAGACCAGCCTGACCAACATTGGTGAAACTGCGTCTCTACTAAAAATCAAAATTAGCTGGGCATGGTGGCACATGCCTATAATTCCAGCTACTTGGAGGGCTGAGGCAGGAGAATTGCTTGAACCCAGGAGGGGGAGATTGCAGCGAGCTGAGATTGTGCCATTGCACTCCAGCCTGGGCAATAAGGGACAAAACTCTGTCTCCAAAAAAAAAAAAGGGTCTGGCACGATGGTTCGCACCTGTAATCCCAGCACTGGGAGGCAGAGGTGGGTGGATCACGAGGTCAAAAGATCGAGATTATCCTGGCCAACATGGTGAAACCCGTCTCTACTAAAAATACAAAAATTAGCTGGGCGTGGGTGCGCGCACCTGTAGTCCCAGCAATTCAGGAGGATGTGAGGCAGGGGAAATCACCTTAACCTCGAGGAGGTTGGCAGGTTCAGCTGGTCAAGAATTGCTGGCCACTACTCTCCACCCTGCGTGACACAGCGAGACTCCCATCTCAAGAAAACAGAAAAAAAAAGGATGGAAAAATGAGATTGGGAAAATTCTAAGGACTTATATAGGATTTATAATGAAAGGCTACTTATCTCTAGAAATGAAGGCAGGTGGTCTCCAGGGAGAAAACAACTAGAGACTTGAGTATAAAAAGACCAGACTGTCCCTCAGCGTCACTTGGGTTTTCTGGCCACTAGTTCCCCATCTGTGAAGTGGAGCTCCTATGTCCTTCCCAGCCACCCACAATCACTACAGTTTGGCCATCACATTGGAGAGTGACACAAAGAAAGTGCTTTAGAACTAGACAAGCTTGTTCATGCCCTAAAAGGACCTGTTTCCTTTCGGGGGCTCGCCCGCGTTTAACAACCATTTTCTTGACAGAAAACATGTTCCCTATGAGCTTTTCTCTTAAGAAAATAATCCTCAAAATAGATTGTTGTAACTTCTGAGTCTTTTTTACCTCAAAAAAAAGTTTTGGCCAGGCACAGTGGCCCATGCCTATAATCCCAGCACTTTGGAAGGGCCAAGGTGGGCAGATCACTTGAAACCAGGAGGGGGTGTTTCAGGCCGGCCGCGCGTGCGTCCTCAAGCCTGTGAATCAGCACTTTGGGAGGCCCGAGGATGTGGTGGTATCACGGACCTGTTGGAACTTGGGGTCAGG